TTAAAATTCTGATAGTTTCGTCTTTTCTAATTCGGATTTTTAAAGTTAAATCTTTAAAAAAAATTGAAAGTAAAGTGTACGTAATGAATATTATATAAGCTAATAACTTACGCGCCGATGAGATTTGGAAAGCGATGTCGCATCGCTTGGCGATTATTTTCTTGTTCTCTTGCTAAAATTAAACTTATAAAACTCTTTCTGGATTTCAATAATAATACAAAATACACATAAACAGCTTATAAAAGAAATTTAAAACATAGAAATTAACCAGTAAACCAGTAGAGACGATATAAATTTCGAGCGATGCGACTACGCTGGCGAGATCGCAATCGTCGAAGTGTGTCGACATGTGGGTAGTACAGTATATTTAAAAAGATAGATTTCTTTATTAAATTCGTTGAACTAGTTAAAAGTTAAACATGCCGAATAATCTGTCAAAATTTCCATATATTTAACATAGACTGCTATGAAACATCATCTTTCCATTAGTTGTCAAGGTAATAACAATAGATAATGAATCAACCCCATATAACCAATTAGTTCTAACAATAAAGTTTTATCCACGAATAGCATTAAGCACCTTTTATCATGCAAATCTATATAAATATTGCTTTCCTAAATTGTAAATTACCTGACCATAGCACCATAAAAATGTTTAAATCATTAATTTCGCTACAAATGCCACTTAATCTTAATAAAATCTATATACTTTATAAGATACATTTATACGGAACGTTTTTATATTTAATAATTTAACAAACAAACAAAAAAAAAAATAACGTTTAAACACGTAAACAAGCATCACGTTTCTTACACAATCGATTCTTAGAGGTAAACAAACTAAACGGATCGAAAACATTCAACTGTAAGCTGCATTCCACGCATTGAAATGTGTCTGGGAAGTGTTTAAAAGTTGTTTCACCCCCCAAAGTAATTTCTAATACTACTAAAATATAGAAAAAACTAACCTTTGTCGATGTCCGTATCTGTCAATTCGTTAATTCGAGGTGGTTTCTCGCCTTCTATAATAACTGGAGGTGGTTCTAACCTGCTGACAATGTTTTCGGTTTGGGTTCTGTGGCAAACAGCCACTACCGGGGCGACTGTAGTGGTGACACGATTTGCTTTGGCACTAGCGCATCCCATAACCGTTTAACAAGTGGCGTGGAACCATCGATACTAAAAAAGACGAATGCGTTTCGCTCTTTTATATCTTTTTATTAAAGTTTATTATAAATTCTAAAAAACATTAAAATATCAGCTACATGCTGTAATAATTATACAGTAAAAATCTTTTTTCCGTACATATTATATTCTTTTTTGGGTGAGTATTTTCACCTCTTTAAATTACATCTAACTCACAACCCCTCTTGTTCATTATTTACATGTTTTATTTACAATATATACAGATTGAGGGATTTGTGATAACATAATACTTTTTCTCTCAGGCTTTTTAATATCTTATGTTTCATTATATTTATGCTTATTTATTTTAACATAGGCTTTACTAAATTGACACTTCTACTTTTATAAATCTAAAGTACAAGAGACTTTTATACAATAGGAAAGTATTTTGATTTGTTGGGATATTTTTAGACCGACATTTCATTTACATATTTATTTATTATTGAGAGGAGTTACTCTCTCTTACATTTATGTAATTTATCTTACAATACTGCACAATATAATTGTCTTAATCATTTTCTTTAAATTTGTTTAGTAACAATTTTATTCTTTTACAATACCAGTTTTTGACATTTTAAGTATCTGAGTCACTTTTATTACCAATCTTCTTTAAAACTCACTTTGTTTTGCTGAATACGAAATATATTTTCAGTTCCTATGTAGAATTTTTTTAGTTCATTATTTGTCATTGTTTTAAAATCACTTAAAATTTTTAATTCAGCTTCTTGTTTGATGTTACTGACTGTGATAGAGGCGTTTATTTTTTTCTTTTCATACATTAATTTGCATCTTGTTTTCCAAAGGGTTCGTTTTGTGAGGGCGATTATCCAATTCAACATATATTTATTTTGGTTGAGGACCGAGAGTTTTGTTTGATATTTTATGGTTTGCCAGGTTATTTTCACTTTCCATGTTTTTGATATCCATGCCCATACTGATCTAGCAATATCGCACATGTAGAATAGGTGTTCTATATGTTCTGTTTGTCCGCATCTTGGACATTTTGAGTTTCTACTAATGTTATATTTGTATAGGAAATCTTTTGTTATTACTATATTATTTAAGATTCGCCAAGCATTTTCTGCCCATTCGCTAGGGAGGTTATGTATGTTCCTCCAAGTCTGTGGCCAATTTATATTAGGATTATCCATGTTTTTATTTGCCACTTGCTCATGTAGAATATCGTATATCAATCGAGGCCTTATTTTTGTTTGGCTGTTTATTATGCTGTCGTTTTCTTTCGCTATTTTGTTCAGTGTTTTTCTCCAACCTTTATATTTTTTGTTATTGTTGATTAGGAAAGGTATTCTTTGGTCTATTCCTGTGAACTTGTTTGAAATCGGCCCTAAGATATAATTATAGACATGATATAAAGGGTGACTACTTTGATTAAGAGTGTTTATAATGGTTGCTATTTGGATGGCTTCTTCAAAGTGTTTTAGATCCCATATGTTCAATCCTCCATTTTCTTTTTTGTTTTTAGTTATTTTCCTACTTAGGGGTTCATAATTGCTTTGCCAAAGATAATTATATATTGGACCTTCTAGTTGTTTCGTATCATGCTTATTTAGATTTGTTATGTACAAATTGTATATTATTTTTGCTATAATTGCTTTATTGATTATTTTGGCCCGCTCAGGCAGATATAACCAATGTTCTTGCCATTGTTCAATTGAATTTTTTATTTTAGATTCCATTTCATACAAATTCCTTTTTTTTGCATCTTTTCCATACCAAAGACCAAATATTTTTATTGTTTGAACAGTTTGAAATGGCATATTTTCTTTTGTAATATTTCCTGCTATGTTTACAATTTTGCATTTACTTTCGTTTATTTGCATTCCTGTGAACGCGCTAAAATTTTTTAGCTTTATCATTGTTTTTTCGAGACTGAATTTGTTTACTATAAAAATATTTATATCATCTGCATGTGCTATCAGTTTTATTTTCTCTGTTACTCCTGGTATATGAATTGGTTCAATTAGTTCGTCTTGTGTTATACTTTTTAATAATGCTTCTATGTAAATAGTGAACAAAACCATTGAACTTGGGCATCCCTGCCTGACTCCTGAGTAGCAATTTATTTCTTTTGAATTTCTGTCATTTATTGAGATGGCTGTTTTGGGTTGGTTGTATAATTTCTGGATGAATCTTAATTCATTTTTGTTTAGACCAAATTTTTCAAGTATTAGCCATAGTTTGTCCCTATTTACCGTATCGAAGGCTTTTTTTACATCTATTGAAAGTATTGCTAAGTTTTTTTCTCTTTCTTTGTAAATTTCTTCTATTAGCTTGATAAAGGTGGTATTGTTTTGTATAATTCTTCCTTTAATTCCTGCTGTCTGTGTGTTTGTTATGGTTTCTTTGAAAAGATTTTCGATTCTCTTGGCTATTATTATACTATAGATTTTATAATCTGTATTTAGTATTGTTATTGGTCTAAAATCTGTTACTTCTTTCCCTATACCATTTTTCTTATGTATTAAGATCATTTTGCCTTGGCTAAAAGAGTTAATAAACTCTTCCATGTTGAAAAGTTCTTGTAGTATTTTGGTTAAATCATCTTCAAAAAATTTATAAAATTCGGCAGACAGGGAATCTCTGCCCGAGGCCTTGCGAGTGTTTAGTTCTTGGATTGCATTTTTAACTTCCGCTTTAGTGATTTGCTTATTTATTATATTACTTTCTTTCTCTTTTATGGGATTAATCCATCTTATAATTTCATCTTGTACTAGATTGTTTGAGTTTGGATGGCTAAAAAGTTCTGTATAGAATTTATGAAAACTTTTGATTATATCTTGTGTATTTGTATAAACTTTTCCATTTTGTATAATTTTTTCTATATTTATGCTTTCCTTTGCTTTGTTTTTCTTCTCAAAAATTATTTTTTCTGTTTCTCTTTTAATTTTGTATTTGTTTATTTTATGTCTTATGAAATTTTCTTTACATTTCAGGTCTATTTCCTCTGTGATTTGTTTTTCTATCAGTGTGATATCTTGTTGCTTGTTTTCTATTATTTTGTTAGTAAGTTCCCTTTGTAATTTCTTTATTTTATTGAATCTAGTTTTTTTAATTTTCATCCAAGTTTCCCTGATTATTTTTTGGCAGTCATTTTTAAAAGTGTTCCAGTTGTCCCATGAAATATCGTTTTTCATCATGGTTATCTTGTTAATGATTTCCTTTTGAAATTCTGTGTCGTCAATTATTTCTTTTGTTAGTTTTGTGTTGTCTCTTCTTTTTAAGTTGTTTCCTATACATATTTCTACCTCTATCATTTTATGATCTGATAAGTTTGTTTGATCAATAGTTAAATCATAATTTATTTGATTTGTGATTTTTCCTATTTGTTCATTCATATAGAATCGTAGGTATTGTTCATTCATATAGAATCCTATTTGTTCATTCGTATTAAAGTGTGTGATTCTAAACCAATTTATCAAGGGAAATTCAAACCTGGAAACAGAATTTCGTTGTCAGGGATACTTTTTGTGTAATGTGTACATATATGTATATATTCACAGTTCATGGCAAACACAGGGATGTTATAGAGAGATATGTATGTTGCTGCATGCAGTAGTGATCGAATGTGACAATGACATTGCTGGACTAATGAAGGTGCTGAACTTCACCTACAGTTCACAGGAGTGGAGACTTTTCATAGATGCATTAAAAANTATATATGTATATATTCACAGTTCATGGCAAACACAGGGATGTTATAGAGAGATATGTATGTTGCTGCATGCAGTAGTGATCGAATGTGACAATGACATTGCTGGACTAATAAAGGTGCTGAACTTCACCTACAGTTCACAGGAGTGCAGACTTTTCATAGATGCATCAAAAACAAGTCTCAAGGGTGTTTTGATCCACAATGGAAATAAAATGCCCTCTGTTCCAGTTGCTTATGCCAGCTTGACTAAAGAAAATTACAGATTCTTATGAAGGATGCTAAATTCATTACAATACAATGAATACAAATGGAAAATATGTGGAGATTTCAAAGTAATTGCTATGACATTGGGAATGCAACAAGGCTACACGAAGTATGCATGTTTTCTTTGCAAGTGGGATAGACATGACAGAAATTCTAACTACGTGTAAAAGAAATGGCCTTAAGTGGAGGTGGAAAGTGGGCAAAAAGAATGTGCAACATGAAAGTCTGGTATCTCCTAAAGATATACTACTTCCACCGCTTCACATCAAACTTGGCTTAATGAAACAATTTGTAAAGGCCATGGATCCAACAGGCAGTGAATTTGCATATCTAGCTGACAAATTTCCCCGTCTTTCAGCTGCAAAAATAAAGGAAGGTGTATGTATGGGCCCACAAATCAAGGAGCTACAGAAAGATGCAAATTCTGAAGCATTTTTAACTGCCAAAGAAAAGAGAGCATGGGAGTGTTTCAAGATTGTGTCAGAAAACTTCCTCGGAAGAAGAGCTACCAACTACAAAGCAATGGTGAATGACATGATCAAAGCATATCAAGATCTGGGGTGCAATATATCTCTGAAGATACATATGATGGACTCATCTGAACTACTTCACAGAGAGTTGTAGTGATGTATCAGATGAACATGGCAAAAGATTCCACAAAGACATTTCTACTATAGAAAGGCATTATGAAGAGAAGTGGGTACCTTCTATGTTAGCAGATTATTGCTGGAATATCATTCGAGAGAAGAAAGATTCTTAATACAAGATAAAAAGTGATGTGCATTATTATATGGTGGCTCATTTTTTGTCAATTTTCTGTAATTGCTCATGTGAAATAAATGCTACAGAGTGAATACACTAAGAGTACTGTGTTATAATGTTAGATCCCAACCCCCCTTAATGTGATGAACTTAATAACATCATAAAAAAGCTAATTTGTTTTTTGAATTTCAGCTAATGTGTCCTGCACTATATCAGAAACATAAAGAAAAAATAAAATTGTGATTACTCATAAACTATCCCTGACAGAAAAAAACTAAAAACAGGTTTGAATTCAGTGCTCAAAGTACAACTAGAAACACAATGTATTTTTTCAGAAATAGAAAAAAAGTTTTTTATGAGGAACAGTGTCATTACTATATTTTATTATTTCAATATGCTCTTTGAATTTTTGTTTATATATATTTTTTTTATAATAAAGTATTTTTATGTTGCTTTTGTCAATCTTACAATCACTGTTATTTGTGTGATTAAGCCAAGAGGAATTATTGTATTTTAATTTTACAGCA